TTTAGCTAATCCTTATTTAGTTAACTGTAGTTTAGCTAATCCTTATTTAATATAATGTAGTTTAGCTAATCCTTATTTAGTTAACTGTAGTTTAGCTAATCCTCATTTAGTATAATGTAGTTTAGCTAATCCTTATTTAGTTAACTGTAGTTTAGCTAATCCTCATTTAGTATAATGTAGTTTAGCTAATCCTTATTTAATGTAATGTAGTTTAGCTAATCCTTATTTAGTTAACTGTAGTTTAGCTCATCCTCATTTAGTATAATGTAGTTTAGCTAATCCTTATTTAGTTAACTGTAGTTTAGCTAATCCTTATTTAGTATAATGTAGTTTAGCTAATCCTTATTTAGTTAACTATAGTTTAGCTAATCATTATTTAGTACACTCTAGTTTAGCTAATCCTTATTTAGTACACTGTAGTTTAGCTAATCCTCATTTAGTATAATGTAGTTTAGCTAATCCTTATTTAGTTAACTGTAGTTTAGCTAATCCTTATTTAGTTAAATGTAGTTTAGCTAATGATATTTTAGATCATTGTAGTTTAGCTGATCATATGTTAGTTCATCATAGTTAAATTGGTCATAGTTTAGTTCACTGTAGTTTGGCTAGTCATTATTTAGCTCACTGTAGTTTAGATGATAATATTTTGGTTCACTGTAGTTTAGCAAGTCATTATTTAGTTCACTGTAGTTTAGCTGATCGTAGTTTAGTTTACTGTAGTTTAGCTAATCATTATTTAGTTCACTGTAGTTTAGCTGATCGTAGTTTAGTTTACTGTAGTTTAGCTAATCATAGTTTCATTAATTGTAGTTTAGCTAGTCATATTTCAGTTCACCATAGTTAAATTGGTCATAGTTTAGTTCACTGTAGTTTAGCTAGTCATTATTTAGTTCAGTGTAGTTTAGCTGATCAAATTTAGTTAATTGTAGTTTAGCTAATCATGGTTTTGTTCATTGTAGTTAAGCTGATCATACTTTAGTTCACTGTAGTTTAGCTGATCATATTTTTAAACACATATTTTTAAACTGCTTTACAGTTCACATCCAGGAGGAATGGTTTTCCGGAGGTGCTGAAACATATGCGCAGGTTACTCTGGAGCACACTTGTGAGTAAATCCGTTACATGGCATCATAGCGTCTTCAGCACAGTATGCTAACTAGCTGGCATTTAAAGTACACAGTATACAAGCAGAATAAAATCAGCTCTCATATACACAATCTGAACATAGCTAATCAGATGTTTAACTGAAAATCATTTTTTGCTGTGTTCCAAAATAAATTAAAGGAGGGTAGTTCACACCTATCCTATTCACAACTTACAACATACTGAAGACAAACCACAAACAGGTGTCTAGCATACTCTCTAGCTAGCATGCTAATTACATAGATTGAAAGTGCAATAAAGTAATGACATTCTGCCTTTTTTTGTATATAAACTCTAAACAGTGGTAATCAAATATTTAAAACAATATGTTTACTTCATTTGCCAATTTTAATAAGGAATTTAGGGATTATTCAGTGTGGTAACCCTTATGTCTCACCGAGGGGAAAACACAAAGGGGAAATCAACAAGGGCGTGGTAGAAACTTTATAGTCTCACTTCTGCAAATTCAGTCATCCATAGTATGTCACACAGTCCGCAGCTGATTACTGCACATATATTTAACATTACTGATGCAATATACATAATATACATCAGATTAGCAATGAATCCCAGTGCAAGGAGTTTGATAAAAGAAGAGTACTTAATTTAATTTATACTTTTACAATTACTATAAGCACTTGTATTGTGCTTATGTGTACTCAGTCATTGTAATTGTTCTTTGTTAATAATACTTAAGCAAAATGTTAGGGGATTTAAAATTTCGTGTGAGTATAATTTTTTAAAAATGCTTTAAATGAATCATATTTCCATGAAAATAACATACAATACAGTGGGGTCCAAAAGTCTGAGAGTACTAGAGAAAATTTGACACAAAGGTTTTCACTACAAATGATATTATCGGCAATAATGTGAGTGAAAAGTAGAATCTGTGAAATATTTACATGAATTTCAGAGTTTCTTTGTATTTGTTACATCCTCCTTTTGCTTTAATGACAGTGTGCACTCGAGCTGTTTGTGTAAAACCTAATGATCCATTTTAGATCAAATCCATCGGAGTGTCATCTGACCTTTTATACAAAATATGATCAATATCATAAATTTGCTAACACTTAAATAGTGACCTAGAAATTATGAGAAGTGACCTAGAAATTATGCAACATCTTGGATAGTGAATAGTTAAGATGTTGCACATTTCCTTTTTCTGTTTTAGAATTGTCAGAATTTTAAAACTTTCTGTTTATTTCCAGTTTTTAAAAAAATCCCAGATTTTCAATGTGGTCTTAGACTATTGGAGCCTAGTCTAATCCTGGCATCTAATTTGAAATATGTGAGTGTATTCAACCATTGTTAGAGTATATATACACTTTTACATGTTCCCTGGTGGTCTAGCGGCTGAAGATCCCGCGCTCTCGAGGCCCGGGTTCAATTCCCGGGCAGGGAACCAACCCAGCCACTGGGGGTTGCCCAAGCCAGTGGACTCTCAGTGCTGGTCCCAAGCCTGGATAAATGGGAGGGTTGCATCAGGAAGGGCGTCCGGTGTAAAACCTGTGCCAACTCAAACATGCGGATCAATGATCCACTGTGGCAACTCCTAATCAGAGCAACCAAAAGAAGAACAACATTCAGTATATACACTTTTAGGTCATTATTAATGGAACTGAGTAATTATAATGAGTGCTTTATAAATAAAATGTATTATTATTATTATTATTATTATTATTATTAATTATGTAATTAACACTGAGTTTTATGATGTTGATACGTGCACTTCACCAAAAGTGTAGTGTTTATGAACAAAATTCAGTTCATATTGACAAAATCCAAACCTCACAAACTACACAATACTTTAAAAAAAAAAAAATTTAAGTTCACACAGTGTTTAAGGAAGTTGAATGCATGTGACTCTTTTTGTTTTGTTGTTGTTGTTGTCATTAACGCAGCCACGACGAAGCAGATTCCTGATGTAACACATATAAAAGCACTCAACACGACTACAGGTAATAAGCTCACACTTACTCCTAGAATTACTTCACCCGTGTTCGAGTTTTAAGTTAATTTAAAAACTTCAGCGCAAGCTGTGACTATTTATGTTAAAGCAATAAACACAAAAGAAATTCTAGTGGCTTCAATATCAAAATACACACATGATACAAGAATATTCTTAAAATTCATGTACATACTATATGTTGATGCTGTGTTGTTATGAAGTTACCCCCAATGCATTGCACATCTCAGTGTGTACATTTCTTTCTTTTTTTTAATAGAAGTGAAGCGCAAGTCAGTAGACAAAACTTCCTTTAATAACACTACATTAGAAAACCAAGGTAAGTAAGGTTTGTATTTTTGTGTGTTAGAGTGTGTTAGTGTATAATACACTCCAGCATCCTATTCCAGATGATCAAGAGCAAAATAACAACACGCAAGAAGATGACGAACAGAAGGAAGAGGACAATTGGAATGTCTTCTTCATCATCATCGCGGTGTGTCTGACCCTCGCTCTGCTCCTGGCAGCCGTCGTGGCCAGATTAGTGATCACACGCAGGAGGAGGAAAAAAAACACAGCCGGTGAGGTGGAGCTCGGGTTCATCACTACAGAGCACACCTGTGTTAATGCACTAGTGTGTGGATTCATCCAAGCATGGATGTTAATTCAACAGTGTGTGTGTGTGTGTGTGTGTGTGTGTGTGTGTGTTCATTCAACAGTGTAGGAGTTTTTTCATCAGTTAATGTAGGTATTAATTCGGTTAATTCAATGCCAGAGGTCTAGGTGAGTCTAACTGTGACTGTGAGATGTAGTATCGTTAAAGTGTGTGTGTGCGTGTGTGTGTGTGTGTGTGTATGTGTGGGTGGGTGTGCCCATACCTACATCTCATACTGACAGTTGAAATGTTAGATCTGAGGTTTGTTATAGGTGTGTGTTTGAGAGACTGGGTGTGTGTGTGTGAGTGGGTGTGCCCATGTCTACATCTGTGTGTGACAGTTGAAATGTCAGATGTGAGATCTATTAGATGTGTGTGCACCCATGCTTGTGTGTGTGTGCGTTTGTGTGTGTGTGTGTGCACGGCCATATCTACAAGCATCAAACAGCTGAAATGTTCAGTGGTGTGTGTGTGTGTGTGTGTGTGTGTCTGTGAGTGTGTGTGTGTGCACGGCCATATCTACAAGCATCAAACAGCTGAAATGTTCAGTGGTGTGTGTGTGTGTGTGTGTGTGTGTGTGTGGTCACAGCTGCATATACAGACAGATAAGGAAATTCTAAGTAAGTGATGATGAGTTATAGAAAGAGCGTTTTCCCCTTTTCAGATCCTGAGAAGGACGATCCGTATCTGGATGACGAAGATGGAGAGAAAGTGCCGATGTAAGTGTCTGTCAATCACTACAATAAAATAAAACACAAACTGTCAGTGTATCAGTTTATTTCACAATAATGTCTGAGTGGCTCTACATTATCTCATTTATTACAGGAAATTAGGGATCTGTTTGCTGAACTAATCTGAATTTGAAAGCTTTTGTACTATTGTACTAATCCACTATGACACTACACATCATAAAGGAACTTTACAAACCACACAAACAAACAAACACACACACATATCTATATATCTATATCTATATCTATATATATATATATATATATATATATATATATATATATATATATATATATATATATATATATAATAACACAGGTGCTAACAGTGATCAGGAACTATGGAACACAGAAATCAGGAAGTAATAATGAGGCAAACAGGAAGTGGTTGCAAACACAACACTTGTCTGTGTTTCCCTAAAACTGCTGCAATTATAAAAAGTACTTGCTTTGAGGAAGTGTGACATTTCCTATAAATATTGCTTGTGGCATTAAAACAGGACATGTAGCTAGATTGTACATTGTGTGTTTGCACGCACATGTGTCTAATTATCTTTAAAAAAAAAAAAAAAAAAAGTCTGTATCTTTCACCTGGAAATATGGATAAAGTGGCCATTTAGTGTAAAGCTTTATAGGTGCACGACATTCATCTTTCGAGATACACGCTAAATGTATGTTAAAAAAAAAGATGCATATTACATACGTTTTTACCTTTAGTACTTCCAATGTGTGTATTTCTATACGTTTGTGCTTTACAGTACATAAAATGCAGGCATACCAAATACCAAATATGTCGTGTGTGTGTGTGTGTGTGTGTGTGTGTGCTTCCAGGCCCATGTTTGAAGACGACATACCCTCTGTGATGGAGCTGGAGATGGAGGATTTTGAGAAATGGATGATAAAAGGAGGTAAAATCTCTCACCCTGGTTTATTTCTTACGTCCTCCTAAACTGTGTTGTGTGTGATCATCCTGAGGAGAGAAGATGAGACTAGTGGATGAACAATAATGGATGTCAGTGTAGAATTACAGCCAGCAGGCGTCGCCATTCTCTCACAAATCGATGAAATTCAACAGGAACTTTTAGGAACCTCTTGTGTGCTCCCAGTCTCTCTGTCCTTCTGACTAGTGTTTCAGTTCTCAGACTAGTGTTTGTGTTCTTGTTGTTTTTCCTTCTGTTTTTTTTTTTTTTTTTTCAATAGATGGTGATATCAGCAGTAAAGCTTAAACCATCTGATTTAAATGCTGTAAGGAAAGATGTATTATATTTTTATATTCACCTGCAGGGAGTGACATCAGCATGGACTCAAAACAGAGGCATCCTTCATGAACACACTTCTGTGAGTATATGTGTTATAGATTACAGTCTGCACTTCTATTGCTTCTTTCCAATCTCAGCTGAAAACATTTCTCTTTAATGGAAAGAAAGAAAGAAAGAAAGACAGAAGGAAGACAGTGTACATTTATAATGAGTGTGTGTTAGGATTGTAATGAGTGTGTGATTGTAATGAGTGTGTGTTAGGATTGTAATGAGTGTGTAGTTATAACGAGTGTGTGTTAGGATTGTAATGAGTGTGTAGTTAGAATGAGTGTGTGTTAGGATTGTAATGAGTGTGCAGTTATAATGAGTGTGTGTTAGGATTGTAATGAGTGTGTGTTAGGATTGTAATGAGTGTGTAGTTTTAATGAGTGTGTGTTAGGATTGTAATGAGTGTGTGATTGTAATGAGTGTGTGTTAGGATTGTACAGAGTATGTAGTTAGAATGAGTGTGTGTTAGGATCGTAATGAGTGTGTAGTTTTAATGAGTGTGTGTTAGGATCGTAATGAGTGTGTAGTTTTAATGAGTGTGTGTTAGGATTGTAATGAGTGTGTAGTTGTAATGAGTGAGTTTAATCCAAGCTGCTGATTGGTCAGCTGCTGTAAAGGCCATTATGACATCTTCATTAAAATTTTCAAACCTTCATCAGTGAACTTCAGAGAGAAGTTTTCACACTTTAATCTGAAACAGTTTATGAAGTATAAATTTTATACACACACACACACACACACACACACACACACACATATATATATATATATATATAAGAAATCTGTTTGTAATATGAGATGCACAGAAACAACAAGCTGACAAGATGATGGAGGATTACAGTGTTCAGTGAACAGCTTGCTTTTTCTTCTTCACTTTCTTCTTGTTGTTATTATACTCCTGTCTAAGCATTTTTCAGACATGAGTGTCTGAGTGTGTTTATAATGTGATTAAATCACAACACAAAACACACCCAGGTGATTGTGTTACTTCCTACAGCGATGATCGTGCTCGTGTGTCCTTATCTTTTATTGAACTTTATTGAGAAAACTGTTTGTTGGGGGAAAAAATCTTCTCTCAAACAGTTCACTGTAGATTTAACTTATCCTCGTTTGTGTGTGTGAGCGTGTGTGTGTTTGTGTTTTGCTTCCTTTATCTATTTCCTTCTTGTGCTGCAGGTAATTGCTGTGGGACTCGGAGAGAGAGAGAGAGAGAGAGAGAGAGAGAGAGAGATGGAGCACTCTGTATCCTATCACACTAGTAGCGTCTTTTCTCTGAACGAACACACACACACACACACACTCACAGGGATTCTGCTCAACTTCTTCCTAATACAGCCCTCTTTATTATAACAAAGGTGAAATATAGCAAAAAGTTTGAGCCATAACAGGGCAAACTGTGTATGAATGATGGGTAGACAGGGACATAATTAGGCTGGAAGTGACGTTCATAAGTGACATTATAACATTAATTTTCCTTTATGCAGTCCTGTGAGATAAGCAGTCCCATCAGAAATCCTTAATAGTGTTTGTTAACATGGTCACAGTCACATTTCCTGTCTGTTTTTAAAATTTTTTTATTTAAATATGTTTTGTTACTCGAGATGGAAATATTACTGGTTTTTGTAAATATGGAGAACATACTATATTTTGCAGCCATTTTGTTTTGTTATTATAAGTTTTATGTGTTTTCACTCTGCGACTGTTTGTTTAAAACCCTTTTTTGAACTGATATATTGTGTGTGGTTTTTTTTAATGCCAACAATTAAACACTGTCATTTGTATAGCTGTATGTTTGCGCAGTTGTGTGTTTTGTTTTTCATCTCATCCTACTGAGCTCAACGACCTCCAGGTCATCATTAACTAATAAATTAAGATTAAATGTATATGATAAATATGATCTTTTCCTGCTGTTGTACTGCAAAATAATTACTGCGCATCATACATAGTACTACATACTGTTACGAACATATCTTGCATTATTTTTGCATTATATAATGTATATTTTTATATAATGTATTTTTTAAGGATTCATGTTTACATAGATATGATCAAAAACTATATGTCATAACTAATAAGTCCTGATGTGATTTTATGCTAAAATATGAAATATGAAAAGCCACAAAGTTTAAAGGTTAAATCTCCTTTGCTTATTTTAATTTCTTGTGACTATTAAACACTTGTGTAGGTTTAAGATTGTGTTCATGATGCTACTACTACTACTACTACTACTAATAATAATAATAATAATAATAATTATTAGTACAAGTTTAAGTACCATTATGAGTACATGTTTTTTGGTACTTGTCTATGCCAGTACTGATACTGGTACTGATATTAGTAACCTACTTAATTTTAGGCAATCAGGGACATCATGAAACTCTTTACTTCATTCTATATATGTTCATTGTTGCCATGTGCTGCTAGAAATGAACTCCTTGTGCTGAGGTTTATGTTTAAAATGTTTTATCAGGTTATCTGTAAAGCCGATGCTGTAGTTCCTCATCGTGATTGTTTTCTGCAGAGCACAGTGTTCAGTCTGCTTTGTTTCGATTGCCATCATTAATTTTGAAATACATCTGTTCATTACTGTGACAACACACACAGCTTCGTGCACAGATCATAACAAGTGGTCTGGATGGGCTAAACTGTTTCAGGAGATCAGCAAGATGCACTGGAGCTAGAACTTACAGAGCTTTAAATATCATAAGCAGGACTTTGTCGTCAATACAGAACATAATAGACAGCTAATGGAGCTTGAATTAGGTTCTGATATTCTTGTCACAGTGCCAAACGATCACATCTTTCTCATCTAGTCATGCATGAAGGGATGCTGCGACAGCAAAAGAAAAAAGGAAAAAAGATGAAACCAGAAATGCACACTGTTTACCTCCGACACTGGAACAGATTAGAGCTCGCTATGAGAAGTTAGCAGAGAGACTTCCTGCTGTTGCGTGCTGATAATCAGCACCAGATGGATTTCATTTGTCTGATTTTTCCCCTCCAAACTTCTGTCTTCCTGGCAATGAGTCCACATTAATCTGAGTTTAAATCACAGGATGCACTTTGTACAGAGGTTATCTCCACCAAGATCGTCTTCTTCACTTCCACAATGTTGTCATAAATTATATAACATACAGTAGGTAATTCTGTATTTCTAAACCGAAGTACAAAGTGGTTCATTTGCACTTCATAACTAGATATGAAAGTTAACCACACTCTTAAACACACTGAACAGTGAACACCCGTATCAGACATGCTACGTATGTTAACAAGGTGCACAAAAGTAGACAAATCTATAAAAGTAATTCTGCTACAAATGATAATAGCTGATAATAGCTACTCCGAGCAACTGAGCTAACATTAGCTAGCAGTAGCTTTTCAGAAGAAGGTCCGACAAGGCAAGTGCTAGCTGAGTGAAAAGGACAAAAGCAGGAGTCGAATTGAGTCCTCGCTTTGTGTCCACTTTGTCTTTGGTGAGTGTCATGGTAGCAAATCACTTTATAATACCACACTGACAGCAACATACTATATTAGACTCTCCCTCTTGTTCAATTTGCCTTATCAGGTTAATTATTCCCAAAGCATTTACATAAGCTTATATCATTTTTTTTTATATCATCAATCACTCAATAACATGCATTTAAGCAGCATCTCAATTTATCCTATGACCTAATACTTAAAAGTATTTTAACGAAGACCAGGTTTCTGTGTATTTTTATGTGTGTTGATCCAAAAAACCATAATAATGTTGGTTACATTTTTGCTACGTGACATTAGATCACTATCTTAACACATAGTGTTTGATGTCCTGTGTTTATTTACAGTTAAACATTTACAGTTTTGAGATGAAGACAGAACCAAACTTTATCATTACTCATGTCAGTTCTGCTACAAGCCCCTTCACTTTCTGTTCCCATGTGCATGAAGTATCCATCACTCCATACTTCATTTGGTCACCAAATAAAATGCTTGCAAAATGCTATCAAATCCTTAAAAAGTGTATCCTTTTGAAAGAATTTTTTTTTTTTTTACATTAAGAAAGAACTTTGAGCAAACCATTTAAAGGTTCCACTGAGCTTTGAACTCAGCTCACAGGATTGAAAGCTCAGAATGCTAACCATTACACCATAGGACCATGACTTAATGTCCTGAATACTAGCAAATTCTGACTAATATCACACATGTTCTCATATAAGCAACATCAGGAACTAAGAAGTTATTAATGTTAAGAAAATCTAGGGCGTTTAGATCATCAGATTCCACCGAGATTTGAACTCGGATGACTGGATTCAAAGCCCAGAGTGCTAACCATTACACCATGGAGCCATGTGTTAACTTATTGACTACTAGCAAATTCTGACCAATATCACACATGTTCTCATATCATTAACAGCAGAGACTAAGAAGTTATTAATATTAGGAAAACACCAGGTGTTTAGATCATCAGGTCCCACCAAGATTCAAACTAGGAACACTGGAATCAAAGACCAACATGCTAACCATTACACCATGGAAACAAGGCTGCAACGGGTGCCAATGTCAGGGAGTAAGGAGCTAAAATATTAAAACGGTTTTCACTGCAGAACTGAACAAACGGAAACTTGGTCTGTATTCATCTTTAGAATTTTGGCTTACTAAACCATACATAAAGCACGAATGAACCTGGGAGCTTCAATTTAATGCTCCCCTGACTGAGCTATTTCAGCTAAGGCTGAGGCCCAGAAGGCTTTACTGTATTCAACAAATCTGTCATAGAATTCTTTTTTCCACTGAGATTTTAAGTCAGATCAAAGGATTCAAAGTCCGGAGCGCTAAACATTACACCATGTAACCAAGAGTCAGAGCTTCAGAGCTGTAGTTTAACACTTTCCAAACTGAGTTATTTTGGACAATGAGAACAAGATCTTCTTGAACCAAATCTTGAACCAAAATTCATAGACTTGGTCCATAAACATCTCGACTAGAATTTGGAGTACAAAACCCTACATTGTGCAAGTACAAGATCCTTTCAAGGCAATGTTTCTACAATAGTAAAGAACCTTAAGCAAATATTTTGCAGGTTAAACAGAGGTTTAAACTCAAATCAGTGGATTCAAAGTCCAGAGGGCTAACATGTGTCCTGGGTGATCAGCGCTAAGTACAGGTGTGAACAGGGTCAAACGTGTCTCAAACTCACATTGTAATCCAATCACTTGAACCACATTCGAAGGTGGTCTGGGACGCAAATGGCCACATCACATTTGTAGTGTGAACACGATCATGTCTTGATTCCGTTGTCCTAACTGAAAAATATGTAATCATTGTGAGGCTGTTTGGAAAAATCAAACGGTAGAGCTCTCTGTCACTAGGTTAATGGATAAAGACGATGCTATAACAGCAGAGACAAAAGCGGGTGCTTTTCACAGCTTCATTCTTCCTCTCTCATTGATTTACAAGTTTTGATAGCAGACCATGTGATTAAAATGTCTGAAGTCCATACATGTACATAAGATAGGATTCACGAAACATTTCTGCCTGAAAATAAATGCAGCATAAGAGTGACGTAATAAATGTTTGTGACAGCCTTTCTCCAGTGGAAATGATGTATGAAATCTGATCACAAGTGGTCATTGGACATGCATTCATAATGCCAGGTGTGAACGGCTATGGCGAGGTGCGTCTCGACTGTCCACTTGTGATCCGATCACCCAGGGTGCATGTTAATGCCAGGTGTGAACAGGGCCTATTACACCATGGAACCAAGAAAATTTAGTTTCCACCTACTGAATTCTTGCATATACTGACCGATATCTCACTGTCCTCACTTATTGCCAGTGTCAGGGAAGTTATAACGTAAACGCAGTTCTTGCTGCCAGAATTGGAGATGTAACCAAGGACCTTTAGATTTTCAGTCTAATGCTGAATATTTCTGCTAAGGCTATGGCCAAGAAGGGTTCACTGTATCAGTTGTAGAACTTTTTGCAGAGGAGTAAAGAACCTTAAGCAAACACATTGGAGGTTCCACTAAGGTTTGAACTCAGCTCACTGGATTCAAATTGCAGAGTGCTAAGCATTACACCATGGAACCGAGACATCCAAGGGCTCGTTTGGAGCACCATTACACCATTGACTATCCAAAATTCAAGTCCTCATTCCCACCCATAAGAAAAATATGAGAGAAAAGAATTTTACATTGTGAACATTTCACGATGACTTTTACTGTATACTGGACAAAATCTCTCTCTTGTATGAACCAAAAACTGTATGAATGTATGGACCAAAAACTGATCCATATTCATCTTGACTAGAATTTTGGCATACTAAACCATACATAGAGTACATAGAGCAAGATTAAATCACGGATCTTTAGAGTGCCAGTCTAACACTTTCCCAAATGAGCTATTCCAGCCAAAAGCAAGCAATTGCTCATTTACAGTTTTGAGATGAAGACAGAAACATCATCATTACCCATGTCAGTTATGCTACAAGCCCCTTCTCTTTCTGTCCCCATATGCATGATGTGTCCATCACTCCATACTTCATTTGTTCACCAAAAGAAATGCTTGTCTTGAATAGAATTTACAATGGAATCCTTACATGTTTTTCCTTTTGAGAGAATTTTTCTATAGTAGGAAAAAAAAAAACCTCTCACAGGTAAGATTACTGGATTCAAAGCCTAGACCAATAACCATTATACCAGAACCTTTTAGCTTCCCCTCCATGAATACAAGCAAATACTGACAGATATCAGACAGGCTCCCTTATCAGTAAGAAGTTATAATGTTAAGAACTCCCTGACTGCCAAAACCAGGGATTAAAACAGAGACCTTTAGATCTTCAGGCTAATGCCCGCCCAACTGAGCTATTTTGGCGACAAAAGAAATGAAGGAGTCTTTACTATATTGCCCAGATCTGTTGTAGAATTGTTTTTAACACTAACCATCACACCATGGAACCAAGTCCACACTTATCACTAATGTCGGGGCCTAAGAAGTTATAATATTAAGAAGGTCTTCACTGCTGAACCAAAAAAATGGAAGCTTGGTTCATATTCATCTTCAGAATTTTGGCTTACTAAACCATACATAAAGCATGCATGAACCAGGGAGCTTCAGGGCTTCAGTTTAACGCTCCCCAAATGAAGTTATTTTGGACAATGGACTTCTTGAACCACATCTCGAACCAAAATTCGTAGACTTGGGTCATCAATATCTTGACTAGAATTTGGCATACAAAACCCTACTTTGTGCAAGATAGTTTTAAGAGAATTTTTATACAACAGTTAAAAAAAACAAAAAACCTTAAGTTATTTTAATTGAGTTATTTCAGGTAACACAACCAACAGGCTTTACTGTATTCACCAAAAATTGGAAAATTAGCCCCTTTTCATTTTAGTACCAATATCAGTGGCTGTGAGGTCACAACATTAGAAAGGTCATCACTGCTGAAATACAGGATTGAACCAAGGACCATCAAATGTTCAACATAACACCCTCCTAACATAGCTATTTCAGCAGAAGCCAGCAGCACCATTACTGCACCAGCTGAGAATTAGAACCTTGGTCCATGTTCATCTTGACTAGAGTTGTGGTATGTGTGATCGTTGCTGCAAAGCCATGCCCGTCACAGTGAGAAGCATGAACCATGGAGCTGCAAAGCTTCAGTTTAACACTCTTCCAAATGAACTATTTTGGACAAAGGGCATAAGACCAACTGTTTCCGGCTGCGTCACATCAACCTGCTGTTAAACTATGTAGCTAGCTAATTTGTGTACTGTCAATGAGCAAACAAATTAAATCAGAGATCTTTAGAGTATAAGTCAACTCAGCTATTTCAGGCACATGGAAGCAATCATTCATTTACAGTTTTGAGATGAAGACAGAACCATCATCATGACCCATTTCAGTTCTGCTACAAGCCTCTTCTCTTTCTGTAACCATGTGAACGACATGTCCATCACGCCATACTTCAATTGTTCACCCACTAAGACATTGGTTTTGACTAGAATTTGGCGATTAAACCCTTACACAGATCTCCTTTTGAGAGGATGTTTGTTATAACAGCAAATAAAGAACACTCTTGGAAGGTTCCACCGAGACTTGAACTCGGATCACTGGATTCAAAGTCCAGAGTGCTAACCATTACACCATGGAACCAAGATGTTGAATAAGTTGAATATGTTCAGATTTAAAAACCATCATCAAATCACTAAAGTTTCACAGCTAAGATCAGTAAGCTAGCTAACATTAGGTTAACTGTTATAAATTGTGATTAAAACAAGAAGCCACGTTCGCTACCACATGCGCTAGTTAGCCCCTTCCCTTCCCTCACAGACTGCTGGTAACTCTGTTAATGAGGAAGAAGTTATAGTAAAGGAACTGACAGTAATTCAACTAAATGCAAATGGTGAAGATTCTTATTTTTATCCGTGTGTAAATAGCCACAGTCAACATCCTATTTCCTGTTTCCCAATGCCACAGTTGTCACCAACTCTATATGCATGACTAAATTTCACAACAATGATTCAGTCTGGGATTTTTTCCTACATAATAGGACATGGAGCTCTTTCTCAGTCTTCTACAGTATTCCAGCTTTTTTTGGTCTCATACACAGACCTCCTGCTCAGCTGCAGATGGCCTAGTGCCAGGCTAAATGCCATACGTCTCACACACGCGCACACACACACACACACACACACACACACACACACACACACACACACACACACACACACATTCTTTAGGGCTTCAGTGCATTTCTTCAAGATTAAGATACTTAATGTGAGACTTAGCATGAGGAAATAGTGCCAGAAGTACAGCCAAACACAGGACCCCTGTAGAAAAATAACATTTCTCAGTGTTTAAACATTGTTAACAAGTATTTTTTGGAACCAAGTTAAATTTTGCCTTCAATATCTATATTACAAAACATACCTTACTTGAGTGTAAGAGGTTTTGAAATACAGTGTGCAAACATTTGGACACTGGGCTGTGGAGAAAGTTTTGTCAGCGAGAAGTTTCTTCATTTACTGATTTATTAAATTTATTCCCATGAATTATATTGTTTGCTTTTGTATTTTGCTACTGTAGCGTACTGTGAATAAAGTACATATTAATGAAATATGTGAGAAAGACCTGAATTAACACTTTAGATGTCAGATCTAGTGTATGTATGGCAGGAGCTTTTATAACATTTAAAATGTATATAATCCATATATAAAAATGCTATTCATTGCTATTGGGCTAAAGTGGAAATCTGACTAAAAGATATTTCTGTACGCTGTCGTATTTATACAATTCTGGGCATTTACGCTTTTTCGATTTAAGCAATTAATGATGTACCTGTACATGCAAGTTATATTTCAGAGCCACAATTCGTCAGTTGATTCATTTCTCTAATTTATACATTACTAAGTAATATTTTAGGAACTTTATGAATGCTTGCGAAATTGAGTATAAATTTTGTACTCAATAACTGCAAAGGCTTTTAAAAAAAAAAAATCAAGAATTAGAAATCTCAAACAAATTTTACTGGGGTGGAAGTGGTTTCGTTTAACCAACTTAAACACTGATATTCCAAGTGCTATTATAGAAAACTTTTCTTGATCAGAGGATGATTTAAGTATGATTATCATATAATCTATCAAGTCCAGTCAAGAGTTAAAATAATCAGAAATGATGAGATGTAGTACATTTTAATCATGAAGAGAGTGTGACTTTATGCATATGATTTGACAAGAATATTTGTGTATGTGAATCAAGGAACCTAAGACAAACTGATGTGACCTTGCTTGTGGGAAATCAATAAGCACATAGATCTCATTCATAAACTGGATCTTTCCAGTCCAGGCTTGCTCTGTTATTTCTCATGGGAAATTGCATTTTCTCTACCTGAGTACTGAAGTGAATTGTTAAGGTTGTAATGAGCGTTAACATTTAAAAAAAAAACTGACTGAGCTCACACCACGGTTAAAACTAAGACAGAGGGACAATGAAATAATTGTGGCGAGAGTTCAGGGGTGTGATTAAAAGAAAAATTGAGAAAACTCCACCTAATGAGATCATTGTTTAAGAATTGTATAAAAGCATGAGCCATGACTATGTAAATCAGATGATTTGTGCAACAACTCGGCATTTGCTGATTGCTTCAGTAAAGTCTCATTTTTGGCATCCAAAACCCTCTGACTTTGGAAAGTTATTTTTTCTTCAGTCTGAACTGACAAAGTTTTCTACAACACTATACACACACACACACACACACACAAAATTACTCAGAAGCATTTAGGGCCAAAGAAGAAGAATATGTTTAATAGGTGAAGTGAAAAAGTGAAGTATTTTAGCTAGCTGGTTAGGACTGGTATCTATCTTGGCTAAACTGCTACAAAAGACAATTGGATGAATGAGTGTGCTTAGTTATTTTTCTCTACCTGTGACTCTGATTGTATAATTCTTAATACACTTATTTTAAAAAAAAAGTGAAGGCTAATATACCTTATAAGGCTTTTTGTATAATCTTCAATGTTAATGGAAAAGTAAACATACTGTAGCTGTAGATATCTTTCAAAAAAATAGAAAATATGACGACACTCCTTTGCCCCTCATTTTTTAAAATCTTTAATTGATCTAATGTTACTTAACCCTTCTTGTATTATATTGTTGAATTAGTTTGCTTAGTTATGTTGTTTACTTGGCTATTAAACACTTTAAAGGCAGCTAGCTAGCTTTGGCGCTAATGCTAGCTACTGGTGGTTGTCTTGTATTTGTCCCAAGAAGAAACTTAAGATTTTTTTGGCTAATTTACTCCAATGAGTTTAGTTTCAATCAAAAAGTAAATTTGACCCAATCAGGTCATCTTTATTGGACATTTGTTAGCTCTATGGCTAATAGTGGCTAATAGCAGCAAGCTAGTATGCACTGGCTGCTGCTAGTGTGTAAACTTAGAGTTAATTATGTCTATTAAACAGTCATTAGTGAAGAATAATGGTGTACTCACATTTTTGTATCTTTATTAAACTTATATTTGGTAGCTAAACCACAAGGACACACTTTAAGCAGTGTAGACTAGCTTAGGTGTCTGAAATTAGCCAGC